TCCCCCTTTGAGAAGACTTTTGTTGCAAAGCTCTTTTTCATTTTCACCATGCTCATCCTTTGTTCTCACAGTTGCCACGCATCAGGCAAACCTTTGAGAGCCGAGATTGTAATGTGCTGATTGCGTGAGACAAGAAAAGTGAAAATCATGCAATGACAAAAACCCTCAATTTAAACCTTCATGGTGCCTGAAAGCCTCATTTTGTGTTCTTTTGTTCATTGCTGATACTTTCAGACTGGAAGTCTTGAGCAGCAGAACTGTCCTGCTCTGTAAGGGTAGAACTTGTCTAGGGCAAGAGGAGCTGGTGACTCGAGCAGACATGCTTCGAGAGTGACAAGACATTACCTTGAGAGCTGTTTCGGAGAGCGGCTTAGATGTAGTTGGAGTCAGCAACACTCCATGTCTTGTGAACAGTGCTGCAAGGTGCTTTACTTGCACCATTCACTGAGTCCAGTGACTCCAAGTGTCCTTTTCACTCCTGCCAGGAGCAGGGGTGATGCCAGTGCCTTGGGCCATAATCCTGCTCACATCTATGCGGTGTGTGCTGAATCCAGTGCTTGGCAGGGTCCCTATTGGCTTCCTTTGGCCAAGCTGTGAGCAGCATTTGCAGGGCCCACTGGAGGTTTTCTCCAAATGCCATGGGACACAGAACCTCAGTGCCAGCCAGGTCAAGTGTATGACAAAGCTGTGGGAAAAAAAAGCCATGTACCATCTCATGGCAACTGGGGGCATTTTCAGATGAAGGGCATTGCTAGGCTGGGGAAGTGTAGGGCCAGAGAAGCATTCAGATGGATTGCCCTCCTCTGATACACCTGAGGCCCTTCTCCACTCTTGGCTTGTGACTGCTGGTGGAGACTGGACAGCAGGGATAAGGAGGAGATTGAGGCGATACTTTGTGGGAGATTTGTTGGAAAAGATTACGGGAAAATCCATGGGGCTTTACTGTGACTCAAAGGTGAGACAGGGGAAAGGAGATTTGGCAGCAATGTTGTTAAAATGGTTGACACCACAAGGTTGGAAGGCAGCTTTCTAGGCTGATGGCAAACTTGGAGCTGCCCCAGGAGGTGGCAGTCACTGGAGGCATGGGGCAAGTTGACAGGGAGTAAAGTAAGACATGAAACCAGTATGTGGGTGGGTACAGATGGTATTTGTGGGGAAACAGCTTTTATGAAGTGGGGGCCTCAGCAGCGCTGGTAGTGGGGCAATCCCCAGCCAGAGGTGAGCCTTGAGACCTCCCACGCCGCCTTACCCCAA